CCCTCTCCCTCCCCCCTCTACCTCCCTCCCCCTCTCCATATCTCTCTCTGACCCTTCTAGATTCACAACCACCCGCCTCCTCTCTAGTTCATAAACTTGGATAAGAGACCTTGATAACAAAAAAAGTGATGTAATCCACCTGGACTTTGCAGAAGCATTTTTTAACGTTCCCACCAGCGTCTGTTTCACCAACTTTTCCATTTCAGCATCTGTGGCAAGCTCATGTCATGGTTGAACTTCTTTTTGACTGAGAAGACATTCAGTTGGATCTTGTGTATTTTCCTTCATGCCATTACTAGCGGAGTCCCTCAAGGATCGGTTCTCAGAACAATACTGTTTATTCTTTACACTAGTGATATTGCACTCAATGCAAGAAACACTTTCTTCATGGAAGACGATGATGCCAAAATCTTTGCCCATCCACTCGAAAACTCCCATCACTTACAAATCAACATTAATAATTCCTTCAAATGGATGGAGAAATAAATGGCTGATCCTACTTAACGAGTCCAAGTGTACAATATGACACCAGTACAATAATCGAGGCAATATTATTTAGACATCATTGTGGATCTAAGATCAGGAGATTATAATAAAGGATGATGTAAAAAGGGAAGCTTGTATCAACTATGTAAGCAATAAAGCTAACAATGCACTATTTTTGATATGTAAGGTTTTTCAATACCTCAGCAAGGATTCTCCAAAAACACCACTCTATGTCTATTCATGCGTTTCTATTTTATTTATTTCAAAATAAAATAATCTTGTAACAAACAGATAAATGATCTTGTAATAATAATAATAATAATAATAATAATAATAATAATAATAATAATAATAAATAATAATAATAAAAATTATAAAGTAACAAACAGATTAATGATGTGAGGCTATTAAATGGTTAAATGGTAATGTAATGAAAACTTGTTTTTTTCTATATGAGGAATCCTTAAAATTTGAGTACCAAAAATGTTTGTCTGACTTCTGCAGCTTCCTGTACCTGTATTTTGTATCTATCCTTTGTGGCTATAGTCATTTACCTTTTTATTAATAATAGCACTTAATAAATAAAATATTCCTTTGTAAGTTAACATGAAGCCTTTGTTTTCAGTATCTCTCTCAGATAGGATATTGCCCCCAACATGATGCTTTAATTGAAAGCCTAACAGCTAATGAAGTTCTTAAAATGTATGGTTCTTTAAGGGGTGTACCAAAAACAAAATTAAATAGTGAGGTGGAACATTGGATTAACATGATGGGTGAGTGGATTCTGTATGATTATTTCCTATTCTTTTCTTTGATGGAGTAAAATACTAAATGCTTTCATGTACTTTACTTTGATGAAATAAAATACAAAATGTTATGACTCTAGGGCTTAGAGAATATAGGAATAAGAAATGTGGGATGTACAGTGGTGGAAACAAACGCAAACTAATGACAGCAATGGCACTAATTGGCAATCCACCACTGGTGTTTCTTGATGAACCGACAAGTGGTGTGGATCCACTGTCTCGACGCAATTTGTGGAATTCGCTCATAATGCTTCAGAAGACGGGGCAGTCTATTGTACTTACGTCTCACAGGTGCGTACACAAAATTTGTGTAGGGTGGTTTTTTTCATTTCTACCTCTCTCTCCCTCTCTCCCCCTCTCCCTCTCACCCTCTCCCTCTCTCTCTCCCCCTCTCTCCCTCTCTCTCTCCCCCTCTCTCCCTCTCTCTC